AACACCCAGAAACCTTACAGAACATCAGGGACACTCCACGACCAAAGTAGCCATACCTGTGAGAAAAAAGGAGAACACCGAGTGAAATTAAAACCAGTCCAGTCAAGCATTTCCAACTTTTATCATCACAGCTGGTTTGAACTGAACCTTTTAAAGCCTGAAATATAAACTCAAGCATTCAAAACTGAAAAATTATTATTCAAAGTCAACGTACAAAATATATAATACAATTATATTCCGTTATGAAATTGTAACAGAACGGAATGACTGTTTTTCCCCTTCCCTGCTCAAGACTAGTCTGCATGAGATAAGTCTCGAGGTCTCATGCATTCCTTCTAACCTGCTTATTTTCAGCTCAACAGAAGAACGAAGAATGAACTCTTTTCTTTTAATTAATCAAACAACTCTATTTTAATAAAGCTAATCCATCAAAGTGTTAGTCAATAAATAAAATGTGACCGATCTGTGAAATCAAAATATTAATTACTTCATTATGATCCTATAGAATATAATAAGTAATGTGACTTTAAATGTTCCAACAGGACTCATTTCATGTAGCGTTAAAAGACATAACGCATTCCTTTCACTGATCCAATCAGAATCTTTCAGATGTGACGGAGGCGTGGTTCTGATGGTGTTGGGTAATTTTTCATTCGACAATAAACCATAACATCCGACGTATAAAACTATGCCACGTCAGCTCTAACGCCAGTTCAAGGCGTTCCAGAGAAAGTGACGGAGTGGCCAATCCTGATCTAAACTCTTCAGCTGAAAGAACGACAAGCTGAGGAAAAATTTGTTGCTATTCCAACTGCGGCAACAGTTCCTTTCAGAATAAAGCTGAACCATCAAGACCCAGGTTTGGGTCTCACCAGACGCCAACAAACTGTTGTGCACCTGGAAGTAACTCACAGACTGGACTGATCGGAACCGCGGCTTTTCCTACCGGATCGATTCCAGAGAGGGTCAAGCTAAGACCTCGACATTCCGTATCTAAAGAGGACTTCCTGAAGGGTAGGTAAACCGGCAAATGATGCCTCATGTGTTTATGGACCTCCTAACCAAAGCTTAATGCGAAGATAACACCTTAAAATGACCTTTTACAGCAGGGGTATTCAGTTCCAGTCCTGGAGGGTAGGTTTCCAGTTGGTTTTACTGGTTTCTCTGCTCAAACACTGGTTGAATCACCTGAGCAGCAGCTCATCAGGCTCTGCAGAAGCCTGTTATTTACCTGCTGGTTGAAATCAGCTGTGTTGAAGCAGAGTTTAAACTAAACCGTGCTGGATACCTGCCCTTCAAGCCCAGGATGGAATAGCCCTGCTTTACAGGGTTATTCAAATGTCACTCAGACCCCCACCGCCCACTGTGGCCAGAATACCGGATATGTTGGAACTTAAAAGAGTTTTAGCTTACATACCTGGCACTGCAGTCTGCTTCCAGCACTTTTCATGCATGTTTTAGATCATGAACACAGCTGATTTTTTTATTTAGAGATTAACCGCTCCTGTAGACACTAATGAAGGCTGGGAGACGTTTCAGCTGTTACATTAAGGTGTTCAAAAGACAAACGCACAGCGAGGCGGTAGGTTTTGCTTTCGGTTTGACCACAGGGAATCAATAATGGACAGTAGGGGGTGCTGAAAGCAAGTAAAACTGCCAAGTGTGCCTTTAAGGCCAGAAGTGGTTTGATGGGAATCTCAAAGGCATTAGGTAGTGTCTCACCTGAGAATTCTCTGTTCTGCCACAGGCCAGTCAATGTCCACATCTATGTCCACGCTGTGCTCCGGCTCCATCTCAAAGTAGGCTACCTTACCACCCTGCACAGGGTCCGTGGCCAAGCCAAAATGTTACTGGACAAAGGAGTTGCTAGAGAACACTAATGAAGCTGAAACACGATACTAAAAACACGAAAACAAGCATCTCAACTCATTTACCTGCGTAGAGCCCTCTGTCAAGATGAGGTCTCTTTTGGAGATGTAGAACGAACCGTTCTCGTACAGTTCTCCGTCCCAGTCCTGACGCCGTGGACGCTTTGAAGGCACCAAATTAAACGGGTGGGTGTATTCAGAACCTGGAAAAAGGGTAGGGTCTGAATAATTCTTCATTTTCCTTCACGGAGGACATAAGGAATGAATCAGACATTAGACATTAAGATGATGTAATCCCTGTTCACTCACCATCTGGCTTGACCTCCTTCCAGCGGAACTGATGTCTCCGGACCACAGAGAAGACAGAGTCATAGCCGTCCTCTAAGATCTTCTTTAAGGCCTGCTGTAGGTGAGACGGATGGAGACACGGAGACGTAGCCTGGATGTGACAAACAATGTCCACCTCTGTGGAAGACAAAATAAAAAATGTCTTAAAAGGCTGACAATGTCTAGTTTCCATACTGAAATTAGTCCAGGTGTGGTTTTAATACCCGGATTATGTCTGAGAAACTCCTGGATGGTTTCCACTGAAGATGATAAGTCCTTGGAAACTTGGGGACTCCTCCGGTGAACTTTGGCGCCCCAGGATTTTGCCACTTTTTCAATCTCATCGTGGTCTGTCGACACCCACACACTGAGAAAATACATGCATGTTCATTTTCACGATTAACGATAAATCCACAAGAGCCTTGACAATGCCCGAAGACTTTTGGACTCCTCGGGTAAATGTTGGCACCCAAAAACCGTGTAGTCTTCTGACAGCCACACACACGCGTGGCTTTAAGGTACACTATGGATTTAGAAAGTCAGTATTTTAAAACAGCAAAAATTTTCTTATCGTACTGTTCCTGGAATTTTTACGATTTCTACTGACCAACCAAAGACGATGAGCAGTTTTCTCTGGTTTTGTGATGGGAAAGGCACTTCTCTTACCCGGTTAATGGCCAAAAACAGAAAACTACCAGGAATATTTCTTGTTGGACAAATTACTTTTAAACACAAGGTTCATCCAGTTTATTTTACTCTGGTAACAGACAAGCTTTTGACTTACAGGGAAGTGAAGGTTCGACCTTGCCTATTTCCAGTCCTGGCTTATCAGTAAGAACTCACTGTGACTGCTTTCTGGTTGTTGATTTATAATCCGCACCTGGTGTCTCCCTCTTCGCTGAGTCTAAAGGAATGTCAAAGTGTGTGCGTCAATGCTTTTAGTGCGTGTAAATGTGTGTGCGTTTTACCTTTCTGTGTCTGCTTAATAAATACTCTTGGAGGGCTTTGTCTGATGAGAGTGAACTGACAACCCTTGTGTGTGTCATGGTCTGCGTCTGCCCCTTCCTTCATGTGCCTCCTGGTGTCCTCCATCCCTCTCTAGATTCCCTTTTGTGTCTCATAGCGCCCTCATGTGTCCTTTGTCTGCGTCTCATTTATGTGTTTTCTGTTTGTAGGCATTCGTTCATCCCCATCCCCTCCTGTTGTAGCTCCAGCCTCTTTGTCCCCAGCTCCGTGTTTGTGTGGGTGTGTGCGTGTCTGTTCCCCAACTGAGTGTATGTGTGTGTGTGTGTGTGTGTGTGTGTGTGTGTGTGTGTGTGTGTGTGTGTGTGTGTGTGTGTGTGTGTGTGTGTGGGTGTGTGTGTGTGTGTGTGTGTGTGTGTGCGTGTCCATTCCCCAATTCAGTGTGTGTGAGTGTATTTGGGTGTGATTGTGTGTGTGTGTGAGTCCTTCCCTTAGTCTTTTAGTTTAGTTTTGTGTTTATCTGCCCTCCTTTGGTTCTGCTTCCCCATTTAGATAATTGTTGTCACCTGTCTTCCCTCCAGCCCTCACTCCACACACCTGCTTCCTGTTTCCCTAATTGTTCCTGCCAGTCTATTTAAGCCCGGTCTTGTCTTTGTCTTGTGTCGGTCCATTGTGGTAATTCTGTCAGTCTGCTCATGTTGTCTCTACTGTTTTGATCTCCTGCTCAGTGCTTTGGATTTATTGGTTTTTTGGCTCCAGCCCTTTTGGATATACTTTTCATTTTACTCATCCTAATAAAACGATTTTACTTTACATCATCTCCTGCCTCGTGACATCTTGGGTTCCTGCATTTTGGGTCCTACCAACACTGAATCGTGACAGTGTGGTGTGTATTTGTTTTGCTCTCCCTTTGCAAAGTCTAAATTGTTGATTGTTGGTCAATTATTGGTATGGGTTATCGATCAGCTTAATAATACTATCACCCCTGCGTGTTGAACATTCCCTTAGGTAACCCTGGATGGGAAATAAAATTACCTAACATTTCCTATATTCTCATCTTCATTGGATGTTTGGTTTTGTTCTGGGTTGCAAAATACCCAAAACAGCCATGACTACACCACCCATAGGCTGTGTTGGGAAAGCGTACTACCCACAGCAGATTTCATAGAAAACCTTGATGAGAAACTAACAATAACTTGTCAAGTTTTCTTTACAAAAATCAGATCAAAAACAAGTTTACTGTCGGTCTATGTTTGAGTTTGTAGAAACTGCATCTCTCATTCCTTCTAGCACTGAGCAGTACCTTCAACTAGACACTGCTGCTAGAGGAATTCAAGGATATAAACAATGTGAACTTCTCCACACCCATGTGTACGTGCATGAATTACACATCCAACTGTGAGGATTTTTGTCTACTTTAAGTCAGCGTCTTGTTTCTGTAGGAGGTATGGTTTTCTCAAAAAGGCACAAAGAAATTACACACCAGTTTTTCTATTTTCTACATGGTCAACTTCTCCGGGAAGATCTGAAGAATAACCGTTAAAAGTTGTTGCACAGCACAAAGTTCAAGAGGGATTTAGTGGGCTCCTCATTGTTTCCTTATGGCACGTTTTCTGAAAATGGTTTTTGCTAAATATGTTGCCATGGTAACTTGAAATACCAATAAAACGAATAGCATGCCTCTCTGGACCAAGCCGGTTTATTTGATGTAGGATTTATGCATGTAGATACACTTTTCTTGTTTGGACCGCATTAATATATATATATATATATATATATATATATATATATATATATATATATATATATATATATATATATATATATATAAATAATAAAGAGACTGCTATAGAAGTAACAATATGACCCTGTCATAATTACTGGGGCAGGGCCCAAAAGAATAACGTCTTGTACAGAGATTGGCCTGTATGTTTGAATGTTCACCTGCAACAAAACCCTTGGTTTGACTCATGCTAAAGAGATGATTAAAAAATGCCGTATAATCTTTGTTGGAGCAGGAATCAGCTAAAACACGTGAGTCATGGAGGACCAGGACAAATGACATGCTGGACTGACTGGTTTGAAACTTGTTAGACTGGTTAAACACGCATTTCTCTGATCTGTGTGTGAAATTAAACTCTGGTCCCGGAAGGGATGGACAGAACCGACGCTAATGTGGAAGCGCCAAAGTGCCTTGAGACGACTCTTGTCGTGATTTGGCGAGATATAAATAAACTTGAATTGATTTAATATCCAGGGTCCGCTGATGAAGCAAGCTCAGACTTCTGGATACCTCGGTACAGAGATTGGTACCGGCTTGTCTTTCACGCAGCACCTCCATCTAACGAGACAACTGAAAGCCTTTCACGTTATCAAAGATGTTTTAACGCTGGTGTACAGATCACACATTGAATTTGTTCTCACTTTTAATACCTCGTCATGGTTACACTGTACCTGTCAAACATCTCTGAGTCAGCAGCAGCTCTCAGCACCCATCCCAGCAGAGGAGCACCAGCTAACATCTTGATGTTCTTCAGAGGGATGCCTTTGCTTCCTCCCCTGGCCAGAACCAGAGCAGCTACGTGTCTTTTCTCATTCCCGGAGCGCAGATGTTTGCCGCTGGTTCCCACCTGCAGACCGGTGTCGTTCTGAGAGGCTCGTTTACGTGCAGCCATGTTCCAGTCCTTCTCAGCATTCTCTGTCTGAGCTGTCTGACAACAGGTTAAATCACCGGCTGTTTACGACTGGTGAGAGATGCGCATGCTCATATCAGCCCCTTTCATCCTTCTGCCAGACGGTATCAGGTTACAACTCATCTGTATAGCTGTCGCTGCACTCTAGAATGAAAGTGTATTCGTGCCCTAAGGAGAGGAAACTTTTTTATCATCAAGTAGTAAGCACCGAGAAGGACCTGAAACAACCAGAAAAGACTCCTGAAAAGTCCAGCAGGAGTCATCTGCTTGTGAGGAACACAAAAAGATGGAAGAACTTTTGATGCAGGGGAGTGAACTCAAACAACAGCTGAGAATCATAAACAAATCTCTGAGAAAAACCAAAGCTGAGTCTGTTTGTGTTTTTTTACAAGCGGGAAATGAATGAACTGGAGCCGGGGCTGGATTATTACCAGAGTGACTCAGAGACCTGGGGAAAAACTATGAAGGCTTTAAATATTCAACTAAAGGAAAAAGATGATTTATGTGAAGTTCTGCAAAAGTGTTTAAATCAGGAATCTCAGCTCAGCGTCCAACAAAGACAGAAGAACCAGGAAAAAGACATAATTAAAGAGCAAGTCACCCCCAAATCACTTACTTTATCAGATAAACTATATAAATGTGTGTCTAATTGTGCTGCAGTTTTGCACTTCAGTGCATTTTAGTTAAAATTTTTGTTTTCTGCCTAAAACTGTCAGTGTTGTGCCGTTGTCAGGTAAAAACTCATTTGAATTTAAATCTGAAATCGCTATTGGCTAAGAGGTACCCTAGAGCATTAGCTGGTACCATATGATGTCACAATGTCATTGTGAGCCTGTGTGTATTTATTAGCGGCTCTGCCCTCTCGGTCTGCTAGACAACAGCATTAGTTGCATTTTCAAACAGGAAGTGGGAGTTGAGTAAGAATCTGGTAGGGGGTGACTTGCTCTTTAATGAGAAGTAAGAGAAAGAAATCAGTAAACTGGAACAGGGGCTGGGTTTCCATCGATGTCACCCAGCATGAAATAATTCTGACTTCAGAAATTCAGCTGCTGATAAAAGAAGGTCTCTGTGCAGATCAGCGTTTAGAGGAGGAACCCCAGCTCAGACGCCAGCTAGAAGACCAACAGAAGAACTGTTACTGATTTAATTAATCAGAACTTCAAGACGCAAATTGGAGAATTTGAGAAAGAGAACAAAGATCTTAAGACCAAGCTGGAGTATTTTTACTCCATGAAGAAGGAATCGGTCGAGGTGTCTGCACACTTTAGTAAGGATTGAGTGCCGACAAGTAACATATCTGTTTTATCACTGTTAAGTTTGAGAAAGTTTGATGTGAACCAGTCTTTGATTTCAGATAAACAATTGGTGAGGGAGGAAGGAGGAGGTGAAGAGGAGGGTTTGGAGGATACATGGAGCTGGGTGTCATATGCATAACAATGAAAATGGATGTCAAATTTACGGAAAATATTTCCCAGGGGAAGAAGGTCAGTGATGAAAAGGAGTGGACCGAGAGCAGAGCCTTGGGGGACGCCGGTAGTGACAGGGAAGGGACAGGAAGTGAAGGATTTGAGTTAAACTGAGTATGGCCAGAGAGATATGCATGGAACCAATCAAGCGGGGTATGAGAAATGCCAAGGGAAGACAATCTATGGAGGAGGAAGGTGTGAGAGATTGTATCGAAGGCCGAACTCAAGTCGAGGAGGATGAGGATGGAGAGCAGTGAGGAGGTCGTTAGTGATTTTTATGAGTGCAGTTTCTGTACTGTAGCCAGGGCCAAAACCAGACTGGAAGGGCTCATAGAGGCTACTGAGGGTGAGATGAGCATGGAGTTGAACAGAGATTATTTTTTCTAGGATTTTTGAAAGAAAGGGAAGATTTGAGATGGGATGAAGATAATTGAAATTATTGGGATCAGTGCCGGGTTTATTTAATATTGGAGTAATGGATGCAGTTTTGAAAAGTGAGGGAACAATACCGGAAGAGAGGGAGGAGTGGATTATGGCGGTTATGAGAGGGAGAAGGGAGGTGAGACATGTTTTAACCAAAACTGTAGGGAGGGGGTCGAGAGAGCATATAAGAATTAATTAGCAGCATGAAGAAGAGCTAGAAGACCTGAGACTGCAGCTCCAAGAACTTTATAGTTCTGAGGTCCAGCTCGGTTCTGAAGGGAGTTCACCAGAGCCACAAACATCTGTGGAGAGTCTAGAGACAGATCCTAGTGAGGACAGTCAGATGGACACAGATGTTTGTCCTCTGACTGAAATCTGTCAGGAAGAGTTAGAACTGGTTTGATCTGACATAGGTTTCCATGGTAACGACTCTTCTCCTGTCCACCAACGTTCAGACGCCAGGAGTATGTCTGTGTGAAGATCCTTTAAAAAGATTATGACTCCGGCTTAACAACGGAAACACGAATACGTCTAATTAACAGGTCATGTGACTGGTGGAACCAACTCCCCTTATGAAAAAATGGGGCTGCAGACTTGTCTATTATTAAAATAAATATTTTTTATCTTGCTTCATTGGTCATACGTATCATGAAGAGCCTTAAGATGTGATGGAAAATTAAGCTACGGCTTCAAACCATTCCAGTTTCAGATTAACCACACACACACACACACACACACACACACACATTTTGAGTAGGAGAAATCAGGGCTAATCTATGGAAGCCTGTCGCCGCCACATCATAAATAAATAAAAGGTCACATTTAATGTTATAATAAGGAGTTTGTTTATTATTTATACATGGAACAACATCCAGAACCTTTGGGTCAAATAAAAACAATACATAGAGAAAGTGTGGCTGCTTTCACACATTTCAGTGTGTCGGAGCGATTGTGGAAAGTTTAATATAATAAAAAGGTTTGCTGTTCCTGATGCTGCTGGGGTTCAGCTCGTTTTTCATTCTTGTTTTCCTTTTATTGCGGTGATAGCGATCGTTTCCTTATGAGGTTGTGGTGAAAATAAAAGAAGGTAAATCATCAGTGATGAGAAAAACAGAAAGGCTAAATGAATGTTGATAAGGTGTCCTTTACCATTCGTCTGTTTGTGTCCGTTAACCATGAACAGCTATCGTAGGATAAGCACCGCCTTTTAATGACTTTGTTTCTGCCTTTAATGGTACGATGTGGCTGAAGGTCATTTGGATAGAACTCAGATAAGACCCGAGGAGAAACAAGGAAGTTCATAAACACACACACACACACACACACACACTAATAGATAGATCTTAAATGATGGGGGTTGTTGTTCAATTCAACTTTATTAATCTCAGAGGGAAATTCAATTGTTTCAGTACACACAATTCCAAGACAAGAACTGTTGACTGTGGTCATTCGCAACACGAGTCGCGCTACCGTTAACACAGGTGTGCTCTCGTCTATTAGATTTTATGCACATTTATTTCATTGTGAGTTTTTTCTACTTTTTATGGTTGCTTTAGTTTTGTTTGATGTTACATGCTCATCTGTTGTTCATCTAGACTTTTTATCTGTTGTTTTTATTTATTTTTGTATTTCAGGTTTTTACTACTGTATTTTTCCTTTTTTTAAAAGATTTTTCTTCTGTCACCTTTGTTCTGAGTGGGCTTTATTCTTGGATTTAGTAGTTATTGATTTTCTGCCTGTTACAGATGTGAGTTCACGTCAGCTCTTTTTAACTTTCAGACCTTTTTCTATATGTATCCTTAAGATTTATTTCTTTCTGTAGTAATTTTCAAGCTGACATCTTTTTCTCTTATGTGTTCTTCTTTCGTGATTACAACCCCCCAGGCGCGTCACAACACACATTCACACGTTGGTGGGGATGAGCTACGATGTAGCCACAGCTGCCCTGGGGCGCACTGACGGAGGCGAGGCTGCCGAGCACTGGCACCAATGGTCCCTCCGACCACCAGCAGCTGGCCATGGATAGTGTCTTGCCCAAGGACACAACAGCAACATTCTCTGATCAGAGCCGGGCTCGAACCTGCAACCTTCCGATCACTGGACAACCCACTCTACCACCTGAGCTACTGCGGTCCCACAATATTGTAATATTGATTCTTCTCTACGGTTGTAGATGCTTAGTACCTTGAAGCTTTCTTTCTGTCGTTTTCAGCGTGTTTCTGTTTAAACTGTGTGATCAGTTTTGTTCCCATGGTACCTGGTACTCTGTACTCCTCTGTTCAGCAGTAAAGTAATATAGAGAGCAACTGAAGGAATAAAAACCAAACAAAAACAAAAGAGAAGTGAAATATTAAATTGTGTATCCACCCTAACAACTCTTAACAACCACCCGGGCAGCAGGCCTTCTCCAAAGGAATGGTTCCCAAACTGGGGTCCAGGAGACCCTAGGGGGGTCCCCACACTGTTCTGTGTTTGTGAGTTTAGGATTATATTTGTAATAATTACATTTCTAAGGTCCTAATAACTCGCCCTGCTGTATAATCAAATACCTGCACCAACGTTTTTACTTTTTATTAAGTTTGTAAATGACCACAAATGTTTGCTCGTCTTGGACATCGGGGATCCTCAAGGACAAAAACGTTGGGAATCACTGTGAATCCTCCTGCACCACTCCATCTACATCCCTACTCTGATTTCATCCACAGCTGACAGACTCAGCTCCGCCTTATTCCGGCTGCTACATTACGTTCGACCACGCAGAACAGTAGGGTGGCTTACCGAGCATCAATAAGCACCTCACAGGTTGTTCCACTCGTGTGTTTAAAGGAAACATCAGCGACTCCCGAGAGGCTCAGATTGAACTGTGGACCATGATACTCGACTTACATGTTTGTTTTAGTCACATATATGAAGTTGTTTCCTGGTCAAAGTGCCATAAAAACAAAAGTGTGTGAGAAGCAGCAGTGATGCTGGTCAGCTCCTGCCTCTGCAGATCTTTGTCCAACACTCCTCTCTGGTGGAGGTTCAGTAAAACACGCCTCTGACATAAATCTTAGCGGAGATCAAAATGATTTTTATAAAGTGCAAAAAAAGCTCTGGATGATTTTTTTGGGTCAAATCTTTGGATGGAAGCTTATGGGACAAAGCAGATCATTCATTTCACATACAACTCTGGTAAAGCTTTTATTTGGGTGGAGCATTTCTCCTCTTTAACTACACCACTGTTGTGTTCTACACGAGCAGAGAGCCGGATTTGTCACCTTCACAAGGATCTGTGGGAAGATGACCACAGCTGACCCAAACCGCATTATTCTGCCACGTGAGTCCTGCATTTGTTTGTGTTCCCAGCATCAGCCTGCCATGTTTGTCCCTTCAGGGAGAAGACCTGATGAGAAGCTGGTAGAGAAGCAGCATCATCTTGGTTTGGTAGGCCATCCTTTATGTAAAATATAATCTGGCCACGACCCATAGATAGAGCTCGGTTGAGGTGGAATCTACGGTTGTCTTTCACACCGTCTCTGCTATAGGATCCATCAGAGCAACGGACATGACGTATTATATTCATACAAACAGAAATCGGTCACCAGAACATTCCACCATACACTGACAAAGAAGCAAATACATCATTTTTCTAAATAAAGGATGTAAGTACCTCTATCTGCTCTCGTCTCAAAGAAAAGCTCAAGTCTAAACCATCCGAAGTTGATGCCAAAGCGTTCCTGAGCCAACACCATGTTTGTAGTTTTTCTCTGCCACAGCTCTGGGGCTAATGTCTCTCTACAAACACAGACCCCTGTGATTGGCCCCTTCTAAAACTGCTCAGGCCTCAGTGGACCTGCTGAGGCTACGATGGAGCATCATTCAACAAGGTTCAACAAGGTTCCCAAAATTTTGAATTTAGCCTGAATAAAGAATCTCAAGGAGACGGTGACATTGACATTTGGTACAAGACGATTAGCAGTGGAGGAAATACAATCACCAAGGTTGTTTCAAAAGGTAAATCTGCTCCCCACATAAAGAAAATAAAAATGAAGTATTTTCAGTATCATTATTTTCCTAATAAAAACACAAGACCAAAACTAATCCAATTATTTCAATTTATTAAAAACTATTTTCATGATTAACATTTAAAATGTGAAATAAAGAGGTCGTATAATTCTAATAATGTATACATCTAAACATCTAACACACCTAAGAGGTTAGAGCAAAGGCCTGAAAAGCATCTGTGCATCCCCACACATGACTTTATAACACTGATCATTACCAAGAGATTCCTATTAACCAACCATGCCCATACTGTAGTCTGCATGTTGACAGCATGTATACTCAGTACAGTCCATTTTATAATTATACAGACATTTATCTTCAAAATTACATACATAATCGTAATGCTTAGAATCAAATTTAAGGTTTTTAATGCCACTTAAAGCAACTTTTCAGGTGTGTATGCTTTTTATAAGTCTGTAAAAGTGATAGTCTGATCCTATTCTGTGATGTAAATATCAGTTTTCTTTCCTAGACCCACCAATAGCGTTCGACAATGCTAATCACAGCCTGCCAAAAAAACCCTCTGAGACCGACAAAGAATTGACCTAGACCCGCTATTCAGTGAAGAAGATCTCCACGTTCAACTTGGATGTCAAACAGTTGCAGAGTTGGCAACATTTCTTATGGACAGTAAGTCTTTAAAATGTGCCCTCTGAGAAAACAGGATTTCTGCTTTAAAGGTGTGGAACACTTGTTTAATCAATACATCTGCAGAGGTCTCAAGTTCGAACACCTTGTGTACTATGAGCAAAAACAGTGGTACACCACTTCCAGGAACTAGAAGTGAGCCACATCACAGCTGACCTTCAGACAGCAGGATCTGGAGTCTTTATTCCCGATATTGGGACATCCCGTCTCAGACTGGATAACTCTACCACTGACTTGCAACGTGGACATTTTCTCTCCTCAAATAACACAAGGCTGGAGGAGTTCTGCTGAGTGGTGGTGGTGCTAATGCTAACAGTTAGCTTCTACTAGTTTGCCTTTTCCTGGACTTTAAATCATTAACAACCTTCCCCCGCCGTGATTCAAGATGGGTGAGTCCACTGTAAAATCCAAAAGGGTCAATTTTCACCTATATGTTGATCAACATAATAACCTTTCATCTACAGAAATAAATCCACTTTGTGTTTGGCCTTCTAAATCCAGAAGGTTCTGCTCAGTGCGTGTTTACATAACATGAAGACAAAACATTCAAACAAGCAGTATCACCCAAGGTTCTTGCACTCACTCTGTGAACACCAGACGTCAACATTCTTCACTCTGAATAAGTGAAGACTCCATGATTTTATAGTTATAAGTTAAATAATCATATATGATGAATGAACAAGATGTTTAAATCAAATGTTTGAATAATCTGTGCTTAAATAAATGAATTTAAAACTAATATTGTTCTTACAATGATCCATTTATATCACAAATTAGTATGTGTTTAACAAGTTAATCATTGTTTACACTCATACACATTACAATAAGATACATGTTACGGTTAAAAACATTTTTGTATCTGAAGGAAGGCGTGGCTTTCTGAGGGATGTTGGTGTAACGTGATGAAGGAGCTGTTCCAGCCAAGATTATTTCATCTTTTCCACAGTCCCTTTGACGCAGGGCCAGAGTGCATGAAACAGCCTCAAGGTCAAGCAGTCACTTCTAAACTGTTTACATTCCAGCGATGAAGACAGAAGATGAAGACTGCTTTCCTTTGTTTTATTAAAAAACCAAAGAACTCTATTTTCAATAAAAGCTAATCAAAACAACGGTTAGTCAATAATAACCATGTGACCGATCTGTGAAATCACAATGTTATGATTCATGTTTTAATAAGTAAATGACTTATTCTAGCCACTAGACACGCTGATACATTAAGGTAAATAATCACGACACATTGCTGCCGCAAAACCAATCAGAACCTTCATGTCTGAAGCGTGGCAGAGTCTCTGTGGTGTTTATTTAATCTGTCAGCTGTGATTCGTCCAGAATCATAAACATCAAGATTAATAAAACAGCGCAACGCCATTTTAAGTTAAGTATTCAGCCAGATCTCGAGATCCCCTGAAGTTCACCGCATGTTAAGTGAAGTATGGACCGGCCGTCTATACTTTTCTTTTTAAGCTAGAACTGCCAAGCTGGGAAATCCTGTCGTTGTTATCAACAAAACAACGGTTCCTTCAGAATAAAAGCTGACCCCGCTGACCCAAAGGGGGGGTCCCTTTGACACTGTGAAACACCTGTCGCTTTTTACCTGGAGACTATCCAAAGACTGGTTTGCCGTGCTGTCAACGCCGTTTCATCGGCTCCAGTACCAGAGGAGAGTCCGTGGACCTGGCAGCCTGATCTGTACGGGAGTCTCACTGAAGGGTATGTAGATGCGACAAATGGCGTCTCATGTGTTTATGACCACGGTTCAAACGTTGATCAGTTAGGAGCAAAACATTATCTCCCACTCAGACTCGCTTCTCCAAAACGGAGGTTCTGAACTGACATCGCACCAACACACACACTTCACCTCACATTCTATTCCACGAGCATCCATCATTAGAGAGTTAGTTCTGTTAAACTGTTTAAAATCATTAAGATAATAAATTTTCTTAAACGTTTGGAAGTCTCTCTCTCTTCTCGTCTCTCAGTTCATGCAAAGTGTTTATTTAAATTTCCCTGTAATGAAAAGAACCAATCTTCTGATTAAATATCCCTGTGTCCATTAGATGGGGTCCATACTAGATATGGACCTTTAATGTCTATGGTCATTTAATTAAATTGTAACTCTTTAACCATTACATTGGTAAATACTCAGAAACGTGTCAAATTCTGATTTGCCAAACTTGGCCAGAAATCAGAACAAAGTAGTTAAAAAAAGAAACAAGAATGACATCCGGAGTAATTCAATTTCCAACTGAGCCTCGATTCGGCCAAATCGGGAAAGAAGCCTCTTTTGAAACCATCTCCTTCGACCTTAAGTCAAAACCTTTCTGCGACGCTGCAAGTGAATACAGACACAACAGCTCTTTTCAGAGCTACTTCAGCTCTCAGACATCCACCTTGGACACCTCATCTGCAGACCCCGGGTTGCATCTCATGGCCGGGGAAGCTGAACTCAGAGGAAGCTACGAATCTCTGAGTATCGTGGTTTCGACGTCCGGTGACCTCACCACTCTGACCGCAACCCTCCGGACCGCCGGGAGCAACTCATACCAGGGTATCGTAAGCCTGCATACTGGTGTCTGATGAGGTTTTTATCAATAACTAACTCTCTAGTTTATAACAAACAATGGGTGTAAACTTCTTTTACACCCAGATTTCACCATTTCTCTCAGATCCAAAGAACGGTTGCTACAACATCTAGCTTCCATCACAGCACATCACATCCTCCACACCACGTCTCATTATTCATATCTTGCCATGTATCATTAGTTTAGGAAAAATAAATAAATACATTTTATAAACTATATACTTGACTCTGTCTGAATTAATACGAAGTGTGTTTATGATCTCTGAATAAGCAAAGAACCCTAGAATCTTCTGATTAAACATTCAAAGATCAATCAGATTGATATTTCATATTTGTATGGAATATCACATCTTACTGGTCATAATTAATATGTATTAATTGCTACTACATGAATGTTAAGTGACAGTGTGATGTAGATCTGTCAGGATTTTCTAATCCTAGAGTTTGACCGTCTATTTTCTATCAGAAGCTAAAGCAGGAGATAGGTGTAGGAGACTATTTTCATGTTCAGCCTGCATGAAACACTCATATGAGAAATAATCATTAAACATGGGTTTTCAGTGTTCCACACCTTTAAGGTCTTAATCTTTGTAGAAACTATTTCATGACTTTAGGACAGATTTATCTCAGGTTTCTGAGAAAAGTTCATTAGAACTGAAAATGGTCTGAGGATTGCACGCGTAGCTTATTTGGCCACATGTATCTTCATAACCTGGAGTCTGAAAGAGGTGAAGAGGATAGAAAATGTCATGCAATAATATGAATTTACATTTACGGTTTTCTTTAATATTTATACTCTAGAAGTTGTTGCGGTCGATTCGGTCCTGCTTCATCTGAGACTTTGCCTTTTGTTTCTGCAGAAGAACGTGTTCAGCAAACTCCTTCACAGCTCCCGCCCCGCCGAGGAGGCGGCAGGTGTACTTGGCGGCATCAGAGGCATCTTTACAAGCGTCTGCAGGAACTGCACTCAAACCTGCCAGCTTCAAACAGCTGGCATCTGCTGTTTCGTTACCTGGGAGGAGACATAGAAAATTATTTACGTTCAGATGTTAACTGTTCCAGGATGAGGACACACCCATGCTTACTGAGTAAGACAGCTGCACACCAGCATGTCTAGAAGAGATGTCCTGAGTAAGAAGGGCTAGGTACTCTCTACAGTAAGTTCTGGGTTTGTCAGAGGGTCCAGACGCTATACTGTGACGTCGGACGCAAATAAACTCAACGTGTTCCTCTTTCCAACAGGGAACTATTTGACTGTAATTGTATCTGTCCACACTAAAATTATATTTAAAGGGACTTTAAGGGAGTTTTGAATTTTTAGGCTCGCGATTGCCCCCTCAGGCCAAAAGCGTAACGGCAGCTTCAATAGGAGGCTCGTGCATGAGGCGCGCATGCTGTACGTGCACACTCCTTAACGAAAATAACAGCTGAGAGAGACAGCTCCTTGTGTGTGTGTGTGTGTGTGTGTGTGTGTGTGTGTGGCCCGGAGGACAGAGGTCAGGAGAACGAGCAGCTAATTAATTAAATAATTTGGTTCTGTACCTTTCTCTTCAGCACAGCCAACAAAGGTTTATGATGGGTCAGTCCTCCTGCATGCTCAGATCATTCCATTCCGTTGCTTGAAAAATTGTTCCAAAAAAAGTTGAACCCACATCTTTTTTATCTGTGAATTCAATGCCGTTCGGCGAGTCTCAAATAAAAATTTGGGCATCTTACTGTAAAAAAATATACCGTTAATGTAAAAAATAAACTCTAAATAAAGTATGTTCACATCCAGAATCAAACCCAGGACTTCTGCACAAGAGTCCGACGTTTTACTAGGTGAGCTAAAGCACCAGTGACGTCTTTTGTATCTGTAACATTTATATTCCTGATGACAGCTGAAACAACATTCAAAGAACAGTTCGGAGCGAAAATGGCTATTTTGTTGCTAATTTGCAGGAAATATCTAGAAGAAAGTAGCTAAGGGTCCTCAGAAATGTAGCTAGGTTTGTCACTAGGCGTTAGGAACTGCGACAAAGTGGCACTGCCTCTCTCTCTGCTGCTAAAGCTACTGATAGCAAATGCTACGGGCTATGCCTGAGCGTGAACGTGCATGAAGCAGCCTGCTCGACCCGAGCAACTCTTTTTCTGTGATTTTACAGAAAAACAGGCAATCGCAGTAAAAATGCCAGGGCTCATTCTACAGGGCCAGGGCATTGCAGGAGAATGTATGAAGAAGAAGTTTATTATTTCTATACATGTTTTGGCTGTCAAACTTCCATGATGTCCCTTTAATATCTCAATATTTACACTTTAAATGTGTATTTTAGGAAAGGATCTTCAAGCCATTTCTCCATCTTCTTCTCAAAATCCCCACACAGCAATGAATTATGGGTAATACATTTTGGATGAAGAAAGCAGAAGGGGCAGGACCAAGGTCCCCACTCTAGAATTGGGACACCCTATGCATTAGCAACACTGGAAGGGAACGCACATGTGAGGAACTCAAGGGTGGAGGTGTTGGGCCTGAAACACTCCTGGTGAGAAGACCGATGGAGGGTAGAACGCACCTGTTACGTTAGATGCCGCTTACGCAGCTGGTGGAAGGTTGGCTTATTCAAGATGTTGGTGTCTTCCAAATTCCATTGGCTATCTGATATTCCCATCAGCAACACACTGCACCGTGATTGGTTCAGTTTCCAAACTTAATAAAAGCGTTGGTACCAGTTGGATCAGGTAACATGTCGATCAAAGATTGAAGCAGATGTGAGGATGCCAACAGATAATAGGGTGATGAAGAGATGCATCTCAAGGTACTTTAGGATGTTTACAGTGGTGGCGGTATTAGCCGTGTTTCCAGTGTCGGAACTTCAGGGTAAATTCTGGCACGGGGAAATGAGATGTCCCAGTCCCCTCAGCTGCTGTCTTTACACAGACGTCAGCATATCAGAACTGCTTCAGCAGTAAGTGATGTCACTGGTCAGTGACATCAATAACATTAAAATTTTATTCTGTTTAAGTACAGCATCATTTAATCCATTCAGAGGACGAGAGCAGCTGCGTGACATGAAACGTGTCGTTCAACGACCACAAGAAGCTCCATTTTTCATGACGCTCTGTGAGACAACAAACCCCGTGAATAACGTGGTTGTAGAGGAATTCTGTCGTGTTTGTCGGGAGTTCACCAACGGTGATTTTAAAGCACTCAGATATTTTCTTTTGCTTCCATTCTGCTTCACAAGCAACTCTTCTAATGGCGGTGGTTTTGGATGGCGTCTGCTGACGTCACTTCCTACTGTGTTACAACCAATCAGCAGGGGTTAACCAAAATTTCTGCTCAGCTACTCCACCGGGCCTTTCCGAGTCCCTACCGCTCTTCAGGTACTCTGAAAGTTCCTGAAAATGGCCGTTGGTGGAGTGGAGACACACATGCCGGGAGGTCCCTGTAAAACTACCCTGAAGTTCCGATAATGGAATCACGTCTATAGTGTCGGACTACGGAAGTGAGACTCGTTTGATTTGAGGACATTACTTTGACCCCTGTGGACATAAAAAGAGTTTATATTTGAGATTTCTCTGTTCTGTGAGTGACAGAAGGCTTTCAACAGTGGGCTGGACGTTATTTTACATTTCGGAGGGTTTTGATGAAAGCTTTTACCGTGTCTACAGTTATGGCGGTCTCATGGGAATCCTAGCTCTCTGATAAATAGAGCGTTGCAAAAATGACACAGATTTAACCTAGACTAGTTCAGACACATAAAAAATATCACTCTTAAAAAAAAAAGGTCAGTGAAGGACTTGGCCAATCATCCAAGACCGATAAATTTGTCCAATCACCCAACCTTACCGAGTAGCATGCAGAAGCAATCCCAGCACACCATACTGGTCAGAAACCTTCTCCTGGTCCAGAGAAGACACGTACAGTAGACAGTTAACACGACCCACTTAGCAACCCTGTGAGGGTGAAGATCTGGTCCACAGACTGGTTTTGCTAATACTGGATCTAGGGTTGTCACGGTGTGAAAATTTAACTTCACGGTTATTGTGACCAAAATTATCACGGTTTTCGGTGTTATCGCGGTATTTTTTTTAAACGCGTTACATTTTCAGGAAACTAAATAAACCCTGTATATCAGGAAAATATTGTCCTCAGTTTGTGTCTAAATGTTGCCTAAAATGTGTTATTTTGTAATTATGTTTATTTGTTTACATTTTTCCCCTTTAGTCTTTAAAATACCAACATTTGCCCATAACTTCTTATTTTGTGTCTGTTTGATGTCATCATTTTAACAATATTAGATCAGATGATACTCAGTACTCAAGTAGTCTTCTAATCAGATACTTTTTTACCCTTACTTGAGTAATAAACCCTATATCAGGAAAATATTGTCCTCGGTTTGTGTTCTTCCAGTGAGCTTTGCAGATGTGGGAAAATGTCATCAGGCAGTAATCATTGTTAAATTCATAATTATTCTTGGAGAGACCAACTCTTATCTGTCCCTGGGAGCCCCGTAATGCATAGCGTCATTTCAACATGGGGGTGTCCGCGACACGGTTTATATGCAGGTAGCGGCGCTGCGGCTGCTTTATATAGCGACTCGTTGCATTCTCCCTCAACCCAAATCCTCGGATCACGCATTTTAGCTAAAACGCTAACGTTAGCTTGCCTTGTGTTGCCTGTAGAGTTGTGGGTGACGGTCACGCAGATGTGTCATGAGATTTGAAGCGTTGCTGCCTTTCACAGACACTTTTTCTGCTCGTGTTGCAAACAGGATAGCCGTCCGTCTTCCATAAACTCCCTCGGCATTCTTCAAATATCCAAAAGATGCCCGTACTTCCCACTTTGTCTTCTTTGAGGGATAATAAATGTCCTCCTGAGCACTGCCGTCTCCTCCTTTGGCCATTATTTCAGCTTTAGCTTCAAGAAAGTTTTGGTTGTAAACAACAAAGTGCGCATGTGCCGCCGGCAACTTCAGCAGATGATACGGTGGCTGGTAAGGGTCACCGCGCCTACACCGCAGCCACGGTAACCCACCGAGATAATATAGTTTTTTAAAAAACAAGACGGTTATTATTATTGTCAACTTTTTTACCGGGGTTTACCGCTACACCGGTTACCGTGAGGTTCAACATTCACACAGAAGACAACTATCTGGTCACCTTGATTTAAAAACCTGAGTGGACTGTGCCCCTCCACAGGTGCTGACCCGGTGCTGCTGGAGAGGGGGAGGCCCATGCAGCAGTGCCATACTGGGACTTTTGGAGGCTAGGTCTGGGAGCCAAATCTCACTTCTTTGTCAATAAAGACTCGGGACATGCTAAACTCATTAATAAATGACTTGTTTCAACACAGCTCTCCACAAGTCTATAGAGGTTCACCACCAGTCTAATATTCTGTTGATGGAGCATCAGATTTACCCATGAAGGCCACATCCTTCCAGTCCATCTTCTTCTTTCTCACAACTGACTGCAGGTCTTTCAGAGGGTCCTCCTCCACCAACATGACCTCACAGCCTGTTACCTTCTTCAGCTTGTCGGCCAACGACTGTGTGACCAGATCATCTCTGGAAATTAGCAGCACCACCTGGAAGAAGGAGGAAGCTCACATGAAGGTCAACAGCTCATCAGTGATGTTTATACAGATGGAAGGTCCTACCTCTACATCGTCTTTCTTCAGCATCCCGATTCCTGTTGTGTCCTTGTAGTGGATGGACACCGTGTCCTCTCCAGACGCAGACAGGGACACCCTTCCATCTGTTAAACATCCAGAAACCTTACAGAACATCAGGGACACCCCACGACCAAAGTAGCCATACCTGTGAGAGTGAGAACAAACCTCAGAACATGTGTGACGGGTGGAAACAGCTGGACGTCCACACAGGAGGATTACTGGTTAAAGGTTTTGTGTTGCTCCTACAAGAGTTATTTAAAACCGAGGGTCTCACCTGCGGACCCTCTGCTCTGCTACAGGCCAGTCGATGTCCACATCTATGTCCACGCTGTGCTCTGCCTCCATCTCATGGTAGCCTACCTTACCGCCCTGGACAGTCCCACACCACAACCAGAACGTTACCCAACAAAGAACCGGACAAACAGCATAACCTGTCGGAAGTCACGTGATGAAACAATGACCTGCAAACGCCCCTCGTTCAGGATCAAGTCCCTGGTGGAGATGTAGAAGGAACCGTTCTCATAAAGTTCTCCGTCCCAGTCCTGGCGCCGCGGACGCTTCGCAGGATCCAGATTCAGCGGCTGAGTACATTCAACACCTGGAGGGAGACGGGATCTGTTTGTTTTACATTCTCTGGTTCTGCTTTGGTTTATCTGTACACCTCCCATGGAGACATCCAGAAGGACTCCCTGGCAGAAGCATGAACCCAACACCTGAACTGGTTCTTAGCAACGACTCAACTCTGAGCTCCTCACCCCATAAGCCACTCAAGCTCTCTATTGATGATGTCATTCTTTTGTTTGGTCCCTAAAACTCATAAGTGAAGGAAGGAAGACCTTTTGGTACTTCCCCAAGCTTTCCCTTTTTAACTCGACTCTTTCCTCACCAGGACAGATCATCACAGCATCCCACTACGCACCCATCAGTCTCCCGCTCCTCCCCCGTCCTCACCCATGAATTAGACTCAGATATCCTTAAACTCCTCTGCCTGGAGCAGTGCCTCATTCCCAAAACAATACCCCCTTTTCCGGCCATTCCAGCTGCTTTCCCATCCCAGAGCCAGCTAGAGGCCTCGGCTCACTAAAGCCAAAATAACCACATCATCCATAAAAGGCAGCCGTGCAATCTGAAGAGTCCCAAACCAGAGCCCCTCTGCTCCTTGGCTCATCTAGGAATTCTGTCAATAAAGAATGTGATCAGTCAATGACACGGGGTTATCCTGGAGGAGTCCGATCACAAGTTTCTGTACAAAAGATTGTTTTCTTTCTTTCTTCTTTCGATATGAACCAAACTAAACGCAGCCCACAGGACACCACGAGGGACACGGTTCTACATCAAGCCCACAAAACACACAAACAGGGTCGCCACTCTTTTCTTGGAATTATTTTCTGGGAACTTTTTAGCTGCTATAATACGAGTCAAGTTTCACAATAGGGTTGTCACGGTAACCGGTGTAGCGGTAAACCCCGGTAAAAAAGTTGACAATAATAACCGTCTTGTTTAAAAAACTATATTATCTCGGTGGATTACCGTGGCTGCGGTGTCGGCGCGGTGACCCTTACCAGCCACCGTATCATCTGCTGAAGTTGCCAGCAGCACATGCGCACTTTGTTGTTTACAACCAAATCTTTCTTGAAGCTAAAGCTGAAATAATGGCCAAAGGAGGAGACGGCAGTGCTCAGGTGGACATTTATTATCCCTCAAAGAAGACAAAGTGGGAAGTACGGGCATTTTTTGGATATTTGAAGAATGCCGAGGGACAGTTGATAGAAGACGGCTATCCTGTTTGCATCACGAGCAGAAAAAGTGTCTGTGAAAGGCAGCAACGCTTCAAATCTCATGACACATCTGCGTGACCATCACCCACAACTCTACAGGCAACACAAGGCAAGCTAACGTTAGCGTTTTAGCTAAAATGCGTGATCCGAGGATTTGGGTTGAGTGAGAATGCAACGAGTCGCTATATAAAGCAGCCGCAGCGCCGCTACCTGCATATAAACCGTGTCGCGGACACCTCCATGTTGAAATGACGCTATGCATTACGGGGCTCCCAGGGGCAGATAAGAGTTGGTCTCTCTCCGAGAATAATTATGAATTTAACAACGATTACTGCCTGATGACATTTTCCCACATCTGCAAAGCTCACTGGAAGAACACAAACCGAGGACAATATTTTCCTGATATAGGGTTGATTACTCAATTAAGGGTAAAAAAGTATCTGATTAGAAGGCTACTTGAGTACTGAGTATCACCTTACGTAATATTTTTAAATGATGACATCAAACAGACAAAAAATAAGAAGTTATGGGCAAATATTGGTATTTTAAAGACTAAAGGGGAAATAAACAAATAAACATAATTACAAAATAACACACTTTAGACAAAATTTAGACACAAACTGAGGACAATATTTCCTGATATACAGGGTTTATTTGGTTTCCTGAAAATTTAACATGTTTAAAAAAATGCCGCGAGAATACCGAAAACCGTGATAATGTTGGTCGCAATAACTGTGAGGTTAAATTTTCACACCGTGACAACCCTGCTTCACAACTACTGCTGAGCGACACACCCACACTTTTATCATATCAGGATAAGAAATTGTTGGAGTTGTGCAAAGATTGTTGTCTTTCACAATGCCACCTCTTGAATTTAGAGTCACTAATTCTGGTCCTTTTTAGGAGAAACAGTTCTACGTGGGTCTGACAAAGCGGTAAACGTAACAACAAAGAGAGAGGCAAACACTGGGAAGCAGAACTGTTATAAGGGAATATGCAATTTGATTGGTTGTTAGTGTCACATGGGCGCAGTGCCGGCTAGATGCAGACATGAAGGCAGACCAGCGCCACATCCTAATACCGCTCATCGAAGGCAGCTGAAAACAGACACTCATACGTAAATGTTTAACCAGTTAGCGTTCATCCACAAGGAGGGGAAATTATTTTCCCGACAACTCAAACGTTTCCAGGACATTTTACTTTTTTCCCATTCCATGTGTTTTTCATTACTGGAGAACTGGTCTATCCTTTTCCAGGTTTTCCAGGATGCGAGGGAATGCTGAAACCTGGTTAAATAAACTCCAGATATCTGTGTGAGAGTAAAAAACTAGTCCAGTGTTCTACTACCAGGACAAAATCCCCTTTGTTACTCCTGAAACTAAAATTCAACAAGCTAGAAGACATCCTCAGGTCCTCCTTTTCCACCAACAGGGATCATCTGGTCATCCCGTCAGCAACCTTTAGCGTTGCACGAAGACGCCGACCCTAACAACATCCAGAGCTTATAGAAATGATAGATTTCTGACTCACTTCCCTTCTTCACCTCCTTCCAGCGGAACTGGTGTCTCCGCACCACCGAGAAGACGGAGTCGTAGCCGTCCTCTAGGATCTTCTTTAAGGCCCCCTTAAGGTGAGACGGGTGTAGACATGGAGACGTAGCCTGGATGTTACACACCACGTCCACATCTGTTGGACGTGAACAGACGTGGCTCACCAGACTACTCTAATCCCGAGCTGGGATGCTCCTCGTACCCTGTGTGCTTCTCCTACCTGTGTTATTCCTGAGAAACTCCTGGATGGTCTCCAGAGACGTGGAGCAGTCCCTGGAGACTTCAGGACTTCTCCGGTGAACTTTGGCGCCCCAGGACTTTGCCACGTTTTCAATCTCGTCGTGGTCCGTCGACACCCACACACTGAGAAAACAAAAATACTTTAACCACTGAAGTTTTAATGAAATATCTTATGGAATAATCCACGGAGTCCTGAAGGACTATGATAGAAATGAAAACCAGACGTTTCCAACCTCACTTACTAAAGCTGCTCTCTCCTATTTGCTGTCCGATCTGTGCACGCTCCAAGTGTCCGCACATGATGGAGCTCCAATGCAGACCAATTCAATCATTATTCAGCCTATTTATGTAAATGCTTTTCAAATAATCTGTCTTTACATACAACAAGCTCAGCCTTTAATAACACAAAACCTTTTGTCTGCTCTTCGGGAAATACCTCAATAACACTCCATCAGACACGAGTGCCTCATCATCGTCACAACTCTTTGTACAAGAATGGGTAAAATACCAATAACACAAACTTAACTTCATCTCGAAACCCACTCATGAAGACCTTATTCACTATGACACTCTGGTGCTCCGTGCTAAGCCCAGACAGCATCCTTATGGAGCCGCTGGTGAGAAAACAAACATGGTGTATCGTCTTAGGTGTGTCTTTATTTGTGGTTAAGAGACAAACGCAAAGCTGACTCTGTCCTAACGATCGTCTACATCCTCTCTGATGTAACTGTGCAAACAAGCTGGAACCGGACTTGATGCTTTCATCCTCTCCCTTCCAAGCAGCCAGACCTTGTTGTAAACATTTACACTGAACGGACTGAGTTTTCAGGTCTTTCCAGATCTTAATGTTAATCCTGTTACCAACCCACTGGTGTATGTCAGATGTGTTGGAGCAGGGAAACGACTAAAACATGCAGGATGGTGGTCCTACAGGAGCAGGATTGGACACCACTGTTTGTTTTTTGTTTGCTGAGCTTTAACTTTGACCTTTCACCCTAAAGTCAACAGTTCTGCGCCAGCACGTGACAACTTACTAAACAAAAACATATCCTGGAGCTTTGTTACTGAACAACTAAAGCAAAAACACAGTTTATTGGCTTATAAAGCTGCATTTATAGAACAAAAACAAAAAGACTAGATCAGGAACCATCTTATAACTGTTTAGCACAGATGATTGGGGCAACGCGGGTTGCCTCATGATCGGAGGGTCATGGGTTCGATTCCAGCTCCCGCCAGGGGTATCCTGCTGTTGTGTCCCTGGGCAAGGCACTTCACCCAACTTGCCTTAGTGGTGGTCAGATGGGCCGACGGCGCCAAATGTCAGACCTCTGTCAGACCTCCCTAGGGCGGCTGTGAATACAAGTAGCTTACCATCACTAGCAGTGTGTGAATGTGAGAGTGTGTGAAAGCGTCAAGCGCTATATAAGTTCAATGCGTTATTATTATTATTCCTCCTGTCCATGTACCTATCAAACATCTCTGCGTCAGCAGCAGCTCTCAGCACCCACGCCAGGAGGGGAACACCAGCTAACTTCTTGATGTTCTTCAGGGGGATGCCTTTGCTTCCTCCCCTGGCCAGAACCAGAGCAGCTACGTGTCTCCTGGGCTTCTTGGAGCTGGTCCCCACCGGCGGGCCGTTTTCATCCTCGAGGTCTCGTTTCGTCGCACCCATGAGGTCGTTAAAGTTTCAGAGACTTTCTCAGAAGTCTTCGTGTAGAAGCAAACCTGACACGGTTAGCTTTGCATCTGAAATGTATGAACAACAAACTAGTACCTCCGCCTACAGCTGCTGCTTCTTCTTCTGTTTTAATGGCGGCGGTTGACAAACACGTTTTAGATGAATTACCGCCACCTACTGACGACTTGGAGGACTGACCAGAAAAAAACATGAATACATGAAAAGTTGATTTACAAAAACAGATTTTATCAGAATCACCGAGCTTTATGTTGACGGATGTCACCAGATAAAATATGCTTTTATTTTAAACAAAACCGAGTTTCTGTTTTTCAAATTAACTCTTTATTCATAGACTTAAAATATTCAGCATAAAAAATCTTAAATATGAACAAAATATGATAATCCATAAAAATTAAACTAGTAATGCAAATAATTTTTAACAGTAACACTGACTCAATAGGTGGGTTCTGCTGCCTCCTAGTGACTAAAATAATCTAATCCACTTCGAAACAGCAAGAAAGGACCAAAAAGACACGGCAGTTACAAACATTAGGATATTTGAATTTAAAACAAATGCAAATCTATCAGTTGTACAAATCCTAAAATTATAAATGCTTTCATGCTGAGTCAAAGGCCAAAGCCAATAGGCATGGCTTGTAAGAAAAAATATACAAATGGAAATTAAGTCTCATCCTAGTGTGCAGGCAAGTTCCATAACTTAAGAAAAAACCAAACTTAAAATTAAATAAATTAAAATAAGTTTAAGATTTTATTTTCACCCTTTTTCTTCTTATGACATTTACAGTTAAGTTGGAGTGAAAATAATAATAAAATAAAAATAAAAAGCAGAGCATGGCTTTTGTTTTTGAGTTAGTGATGCAGTTTGTGCTTTTATTCTAGTTTTGGTCTTTTTTTTATTTATTACAATAAAAATAATTAGAAATTAGTTTTTGTCCCCTAAGTTCCAAACTAACAGTAACTTCTAAGCTTTAAAAGATCAGGCTTCATCTTTTATCAAAGTTATTTTTGATCCACTTCCATCCACGAGGCAGGCAGCATGTCTATGTTACGTGTTAGCTGGGCTTATCCCTTTAGTTGTGTTGCACAGTAATAGCTTTGATTGTGTTTGTTTATTTACCATAGAAAAAACAACTTGTGCAACTTGTCCTAAGGCTGATTATCTGCATCACAGGAAGTTCTTCCTATCTCTGAGACTTCTTCAAGTGTTGTTCTTGAATACATTTATTAGTAACATCTATTGTTCATGAGAATCACCGCAGGAGTATGGAGACAACACCAACAATTACACCTCCTAAACATCTCCATTTGCTTTCAGCAGACACTGTGGAGAGTTTCCAGCCTTTAGCCCACAGACAGTTGAGACGGAAGGGTTCCCATCCTACTTCCTGTTAAATGTGAGTCATTTCTTCCCTCTGACACCTTGTGCTTGCTCAGGATGGAGATGTAAACGGTGTTAGCACTGTGTGCATATAGCTTGGCTTTAATTCAGTTCAATTCAAAAAGAGTTTATTAATCCCAGAGGGAAATTCAATTGTTTCAGTACACACAATTCTAACTGGTTTAAATAAGCACCTCACTTCAGGTTTTGTTTCCAGCATCAAATAATTAATTACAAATGTTAGGAAAATGGGTAAGAGAAACATAAATCATTGTTTACATGAAGGGGGCGGAGCCAAACCATTGTACTGCAGTCTGCCACTAGGGTGCGCATCTGTTTCTTGTCATGTTGTATTTCTAGTCTAGTTCTATTTCTATGGTCTGGACATGTTGCTTTTTCTTCAGCATTTAATTGATCAGAAGAAATAAAAAAATCTAAATATCGTCAGACATTCGTTTATAATGATAACCATCGCAACAGAAAATCTCAAAATTCACCAATCAACAGTTTCATTTGTTAGAAAAGACGATGGAAACCAAATGTCGACAAACTGGTTCTCCAACTGCATGATTAAGTAAAACAAAATGCACATTGTCCCTTTTCTTTGGGAGTCACTCCTCAGAACCAGGGCCAACTTCTTTCTCCGTCCTCCTCTTTACAGGAAAGAAGACAGACCAAACAAAAGCTTGTACCCATGAAGTCCATTCACAATATCAGAACGCTATTGGCTGAGGTGCACAAACGCGAGTGCGTTCGCTGTGGTTTAAAATAACTTGCAGGTATGTTACCTGACCTGTGCTCTCACCCACTGCTGAGAAAACAGAAAGATTATAAAAGGCAAATATGTAGGTGAAGCACAGGGAGGGAGCGAGGCAGCTGGTGGCGAACAAAAACCTAAGGAACTGAAAGAGGTTGTGTCTCAAAAAGCTCCGGTGATCAGATGTTTGGTTCAAATATTGTGTTTTTATTTGAATCTACAGGCTCAAATGTCCCCCAATGCCCTCGTTATGTCGGTTACAGAGTCACAAATGTTTCCACTAATGATATTATCTAATTACTCGCCCACATCGAGGAAGTTGACCTTTAAATCAAAGCTCCAGGTAAGTGTTTTGATAGTAATGCTGACAGTTTGACGGAGATGTTTCTGTAGATCAGGCTGAACCGGTGTTCTGTGCTGTCACTTCATCTGTTTCCTTCTGCATTTTGGTTGAACCAGTTTAACTTGAGAGGTTTTCTCGGGACAGATACATACTTTAATGGTTGGGGCGTATTTTCCTTTGAATGCTGTATTTAATATTTTTTAGTTCTTGGTTTCATTTTGTGCCTTGTTCTAGTTGTGTTAATTCAGACATTTTCTGACAGTTTTAGTTTATTTGGTTTGTAACTGTTTTGCCTCATTTTCATCACCATAATGTAATTTTTGTCTTATTTTGTAGTTCTTTTTAATTAAACATAATAAAATAAAAATTATGTAATTAGGTGTGGTTTGCTGTTTACATTATGCCTTTGTGAAATTAACCCTTTTTACCTTCTGTGGACATTCGCATTCTGTTCATGAATGTTGGATTTTTCCTAATTTACATTTTGTCTTAAGTAATAGTTGAATAATGTGTTAAAAACAAGTTAGAGATTTTATGACATTTTCAAAATGTGTTGTGTTCAAATTCTTGGCTACATAGCAAGCGAGTGATCTGATGAGCTTCCTAATGAAGATCCTATCACTCTTTGCTCACCTAAAATGACTTTTCTCGTTTCGGAAGGAGATTCTTAAACACCCAAATGTTTTGTGTATGATAGTCACTGTTATAGGGGTTAATGTCTTTAAATGATTTTGCTCATTTTAAACCAAAACAGAACCTTTTAAAAGGCATTTTAAGATGTGGATTTAAGAGTAAATATTGTGACAGATGGGCTGCAGTGGTTAGAGCTGTTGCCTTGCAGCAAGAAGGTCCTCCTGAGTAAGCTTCCCGGCCTGGGATCTTTCTGCATGGAGTTTGCATGTTCTACCTGTGCATGCGTGGGTTCTCTCCGCGTACTCCGGTTTCCTCCCACAGTCCAAAAACATGACTGTTATGTTGATTGGTCTGTCTAAATTGTCCCCAGGTGTGAGTGTGTGTGTGTGCATGATTGTTTGTCCTGTGTGTTTCTGTGTTGCCCTGCGATGGACTGGCTCTCTGTCCAGGGTGTACCCCGCCTGATTGCCCGTTGACCGCTGGAGATAGGCACCAGCCCCCCCCCCCCCGACATTCAGAAAATGGATGGATGGATTGTGACAGATGTTATTGACACTGAAGTGAAACAACAATTTCATCAGCATATATCTAAAACCATGAAAGTCATAAGAAGAGGAATTCATTTTATAAAAACCAAAAAAGAAGTGGGTCGAGAACTTAGCCTTGTGGTACACCAGTAATCATTTCAATTATCCCATTAAGGAATATTGACAATTTCTGTTTCAATTTTGTTTCTCAGGGCTGCATGGTGGTGCAGCTGTTAGCACTGTTGCCTCACAGTAAAAAGGCTGCAGGTTCAAAACTTGGCTGAGAGTACTCCAGTTTCCCCTACAGATAACAACATGCCCTATAGGTTAACAATTGTACGTCGCTTTGGATAAAAGCGTCTGCCAAATAATTAAACTTAAACATTTTTTAATTTTTGGGAAAAAATAAAAATACTAATCATGTTAATTTTAAAAAGATAATTTCCAGTCTGGACAGCATGAACTTTTTTAAGACTTAAAAAAAAATCTATAAACTGCTGCAAGTGACAGTTATTAAAGTAAGTGTAGAATCCAGACTGGTAGCACTGGTTTAAGCATACAATCATACACAAGTGAGAAAACAACGGACCACTGCAGTAACAACAAACCATTAATAAAGTCATCTCTTTTTGTGTTTAACTTGTGATTCTTTGTCATTGCCCCTAACCCTGTTGACTTCTGACCTTTTGGATTTTTGTGTTATTTATAAACTGAAATCCAGTCACATGTTTTCTGCGTCAAAGAAAGAACGAGAGAAGAAAGGAGGTTGAGAAAGGAAGGGATTTCTCATCTGCCCAAACTCATCCGACAGCCCTAGCAGCATACCGCTTCCTGCACCGCTCCTTGGCTCCTCCCCCTCCATGGCTCTGTGTCCTGTTGCGTATTTTAACTACTGTGTGCAGAGTTTACGGAACGTTAACACAGCTAATAGTTAATATTTTAAAAGCTACTTTCACATTCATTTAAAATGAATTATTTCTACTTAGTTAATCACGTTATCTATAAAATGAAGATGCATAGAGCCCGAAAATTGTCTTTTGAAAAAAAAAAAACTATTAATTTGAATAGAAAAAATTTGCAAATTATTTATAATTAAGCTTGTATTTTAACACCAGAGCAAGAGATCTGAGAGTAAAAAGATTAGGCATTTATTTCAAAATAAAATCATTTGTGTATTTATTGAAATATCTTTTAAAAGGTTTAGAAAAACTCCGACAGGCAGATTGGGGAAGCGTCTGCAGTGATGCGGACGCTGAACCGGTCTGTTGTGGTGAAGAAGGAACTGAGCCGGAAAACAAAGCTCTCGATTTACCAGTCCATCTACCGCCCAGTCCTCACCTATGGTCATGAGATTTGGGTAATGACCGAAAGAATAAGATTGCGGATACACGCGGCCGAAATGAGTTTTCTCCGCGGGGTGGCTCGGCTCAGCCTTAGGGATAGGATGAGGAGCTCGAACATTCGGGAGAGACTCAG